TCTAAGATTTAGACTTTTTCTGGTTTTATTATTTATAACAATAAATCAGCCAACCAACATATCAATTTGTTAGTGTTAGCAATTTTTTATTGCGCCAGAGTTTTTTGTGATAATCAAAACAGTTGCAAGTATGACCGTTGTTGGTTATTCTGATAAAAAAATGGATGTCAAATTTGGGCACAAGGTATATTTTTGTTTTAATTTTCGCATTGCTTAGATGTTTTTTTTCTAATATCTTTATGATTTACTCAATATTATTTAACATTTTTACATTATTATCATTGTCTATACTAAAATTTTTATTATAGATATGAATATAATCAATCACGTTTGATAATGTTATATATCACTCAGTAAAAATAATCAAATTGTTGCAATTGTGGCCTTGAAAAAAAAAAGACATTATCATTTACTTCAATGAAATTATTCTAACACTGATTACAAATTATAGTAGAAATTTTGTTATGTTTCTGTTTAATTACTTTGAAGTTTTTAAAGATTTGATTTTATAAAAACTATATCCTTCCTATTTTACATATAGGTCCACTAACACTGTTCATACATTAGATATATGCATGCATGTATGAACCGTAGATGAATATATATATGTCAACACACTTAGGAGATTTCATATATTTGTTTGATTATTAGCACATATACAAATTTATCATGTAACGTTGCTAATTTGTCATCTCTATATATGTGTGTATACATATATCTCATACGCTAAGTCATCATCTCTATATACGCATGTATACATATATTTTATATGCACGTCTACATTTTCTTGGATTTTTTTAATTTTAGTTTAACATAGCTTTTTTTTGTTAACCGGGGAGTTCACCGGGTCTTCGACCCAACCTACATCTCTCCAAACACGGGAGCAGCCTTTAGAATAACGCATAAATGCGTCATTCCCTCCCCGCCTCAGTCTCAAAGAGACTTGGCCACCAGGAATGCCTACCGCTCGACCACCACGAGGTGGGTCCATAGCTTCCTAGATATATGATTATTAAAATTTTGCTGGTTTTACTTTTGATCAATAAATCAACTAGCCAAACATATCAAATTCTTCGTGTTAGACTATTAGCAATTTGTTAAATATTAATAAATATAACTGTTCCTCGTTGTTCATCTGAGTTTTTTGCGAATACCAAAACAGTTGCAATTATATGAACGTTATTGACTACTTTGGTAAAAAAAAAAGTGGATGTAAAACTTATATTTTTTTTTAAAATTTTCACATTATTTAGATGTCTTTCTCTTAATATTATTATGATTTATCCATTATTATTTAATAACGTTTTTCCTGATTTTGATAAAACATTATACAATAGACAATGAAAATATTGCATACGTTCATATCTACGTATTTTTTTAAATGATTAGCTATATTAAAATTTTTTATGATAAATATGAATATAAATCAATCATGTCAGATAATGTTATACAACTGATTAAAAATAATAAAGTTATTACAAATGTGCCTTGGGAAAAAAGAGGATATATTATTATTTACTTTAATGAAATTATTTCATAGCAATGATTACCAATTATAGTAGAAATTTCGCATTTATGTTATGTTTTAGTTTAATTATTTTGAAGTTTATTTTCTATGATTTATAAATCTATATTTTGGTTTTCTTCCCATTTCATTTTAGTAAATTTTATTAAAAAATATTTATGATTTAAAATTGTAAATGTGTTTGATATCAAAGATCCATTCATGTCCGTTCAGGTTTGTAATCCAATCGTTTTTTTCTTTTGATCTCACCTTTTTTTTAGTATTTTTGTTGTGTCAATTGCTTTTAGAATCTATCAATATTATATTTTTTCTTCACATAATATGATACCAAAACACATATTTTAATTTTTTAATTTATATCATATGTATATATTATATATGTTTATATATAGAAGTAAACAATTTGTTTTTGTTTGTATTTAACATGTTTGTTTTTATATATGATTAATTTAATTTTTAAATTTGATTTTAGTAGCAATGAATTGCAATTTATATAGTTACTATTTTCCATATCTATATATATAAAAGTTTTATTTGGATCAATTTGGTGCACCCATCTACACATATCTTATGTTTAATTTTGTTTAATTTTGTTTAATTTATATAACACAAAATATTTATCTACTAATTATATTCTTTATATTTTTAAAAAAGGGTAAAACCCCTAAAAAACCTCCAACTTATAAAAATATATACAAATAAACCTTCAACTTGAAAAACTATCATTCAATCCCCGAACTTGTAACTTGTCACTGAATAAAACCTCGAACTTGCAAATTATTGCTCTAATAAACCTTTGACCAGTTTGACCACAATTTCAGGCGATCGGAAATCCACGTATTAACGGATTGCTAATGTCACCTTATACACATTATCAATTTTAATTTAAAAAATGACATCAACAATCCGTCAATACATAGATTTCTGATCGTTTGAAATTGTGGTCAAACCGGTCAAAAGTTTATTAGAGCAATAATTTGCAAGTTCGAGGTTTTATTCAGTAACAAGTTACAAGTTCGGGGATTGAATGACAGCTTTTCAAATTGAAGGTTTATTTGTATATATTTTTGCAAGTTGGAGGTTTTTTAGGGGTTTTACCCTTTTAAAAAAGATCATCCCAATGCGTAAGTGCATATATTATTGTATTTAATGTTTGATTTATTCATATGAAAGTAATGAATAAATATACTACATATATTGCAAATAAAATCATTATTGATCAAATTAAATTCATTGTAGGAATAAAAAAATCGCACAATGATATCAATACATGTAAGATTGGATCATATGAGTACACATCATAATTATCGGAGTATTATGGTCAGATTTCTAAGGATATGGGATGAACGAAATCCTTTTAATGGGAATGAGTTCATTGGCATCAGATTCTTATTAATCGATGAAAGTGTATGATCTGGTCGACATTTATTTTATTATGTTACGATTATCAAAGAACTAATCTTTTCGACTTACATCGTCGCAGGAGAATGTTGTTGAAGGAAAAATATTTCAGAACCATGTAGAAAAATTTAAAAATATAATAAATGAAGGAGATATATTTTTAGTCACACATTTCAAGATTCTACCAAATAAAAATATATACAAATTAACAAACCATAAATTTCGTATTTATTTTACAGAATATACTACTGTTGAAAATATTGTTGTAACTACTTATAGTATTGCTAAAGAAAAATTTCGAATATATTTATACGACGATTTATTGGCATTGGTAGACAAAAAACAAGATCTACCAGGTACGTGATATTATAACAAAACAAAAAAAAAATAATAGGTTTTTTTAATTAATATATATTCTCTAATGTTACAGATATTATTGGAGTTTTAGTCGCAATATAAGGATCAAATTTACGAATGTCGTCATGAACTCAGAAAATTATTCTCTATTTATTATTGGAAGAGTAAGTTTTCAAATTTTATTTACACTGCAAACAATGTCATTTTAAAAATTTTTAAACTTAGTTAGTTTTGTATATACTAACATGTAATTTCAATATAAAAACCAACAACAATATTGTCAAGCTTTCTCTATGGGATGATCTCGCTGCAGAACTCCGTTCACAAATACATAGATTGAATATCAGAAAAAGTATCGTAGTCATTACGAGTATCAATCCAAAAATTATCGACGGTAATTATTTAGTACAAATTAATTTCTGAATATTTTTGATAAATTAATATTTAAATATCATTATCATTGTTATATTGTGTTTACTAATATATTTTATGCATCAGGTGTTCTATCGTTCAATACATCAACATCTACAAAGATTTATATAGATGAAAGACTCAACATTATCAAAAAATTTCGTCTAAGATAAATAAATTATATCATTCTTGAAAAAATCTATACTGATAATATTTACTAAAATAATTTTTATTATTACCTTACAACTGAATTTTTGGCAGACATTGAAGAAAAGTCTACACCAGTACTGAAGACAACCATAATAAATCGATTATATTGAATCACTAAAATATCTATACAACGATGTCAATATTCTAGCATTGATTTAATTCTTTTTGCAAAATATATGATGATGTTTTTATATTATTAAAATTTTCTATTTATATTTAGTTTAACTCGAACAACTTATCAATCTTACTTTTTGCTACATTCATATTAACAAATTAAATACAAATATAAAATATTTCTTATCATACATGTACAATTCAAAATTATCAGAAAATATTTGTCAGATATACACAATATAACCTTAAAAAAAATTGGTATTAATCTAAATATTAGATTTCTAAAACATAGCCAAAATTATGTTATTATTTATAACAATAGTTCCTTATTTTCACTAACCATATTTTTTAAAATACCTTAAAATTTCAAAAATATAACTCTTTCATCATAGAAAATTTTACAAAATATTAATCCGGTATTGCATATTCCAACCATGTAATATCTTATTATCTCTGCAGTTTCTATTAAAAAATGCAATATCCCGTTATCTTCATAATTAAAAAAATTTTCATTTAAAAATATAATTCTGAAATAAAAATCAAAATATATTTTATATTTTTTTTAAAACATATAAGCCGCTAAGAGCTTAAAAATGATATATATGGGAATAAACTGATATAGAATCTCTTATATATAAGATTGTAATGTCATAAATAAATTTTTTCATAATTCTATCGATAACGATCGAATTCACAAAAAAAAATATTATCTATAGAACAACAATAAATAGTATACAAAAGTTATACACGATTATTGACGATTATTTTTTGAAAATAAAAGATAGTATTATCTCAATATTTTTAAAAACTATTTATCATTTTGATTTAAGATATAAATTATAAATTGAAAAATAAAATAAAATATATTTAATTTTAAAAATAACAATATTTTTTAAAAATTTATATATATTTATAGTCGATGTGCGCGGGTTAAAACCTAATATTTTGTACATTTTAATGACTTTTACTTTTATTACTAATTCAGAATGGAAGCAGTGCACAGTTCCTTCGTTCGGTCTCTACTCCCAAAGACGGGGTTTTTTGGAGATCTCTCTCCGCTGGTTGCTCTCCATCTCTGATTAGGGTTTTCGATTTCCTAGGTTGTTACCCTAATTTACCCTAGAAAGTCACCGCAAATTTGCTGCCTTGACGTTCGCCGGGGAAGTAATTGCTACTGTACTTGGTTGATTTCGAATTTCCGGCGAACCCTCGACTTCGAATTTGGAAATACCCCGGCGAAAATGGGTAGTTGAGGAAATTGATCGGACTGAATTTTGTCTGCGAAAGTTTGTTTCTTTCTCATGGAGAGATCTAGATCGAAGAGGAACTACTATTATGACCAGGACTATGATGGAGATTCCATGGGGAGGACCAAACCCAGGTACAGCAGGATGACATTGGGGCAGTGAACAGGTAGAAACATTCAAATTTCAATATAGAGTACAAAGAATAACCGAGTGGTCGGTTAAGTAAGGATTTCGACTAACTTGCATTACCCCCTTCATTTCTTCTTCAAGAATCCCGGTACCTCTTGTTACTAGGAGCATTTTTGAAGTTGCCACCACTTCGGTGGCGGCGGCGGAGGAGGAAACGGCAGATACCGCGGCGGAGGTGGTGGAGGGAACGGTCGGCTCTCGAAACCCCAGCCGGACTCGATGGTGACGACGACGTACCGTATACTCTGTCTCGACGCCAAAGCCGGCGGAGTCATCGGCAAGTCCGGGTCGATCATCAAGTCGATTAGACAGCACACCGGCGCGTGGATCAATGTGCATGAGCTTGTCCCCGGGGATACCGAGCGCATCATCGAAATCTCCGACACGCGCCGCCGCGACCCGGACGGTAGAGTGCCATCGTTCTCGCCGGCGCAGGAGGCTCTGTTCCTCATTCACGACAGGATTCTGGAGAGCGACGCGCAGTACGGTTACGGCGGACCCCCGGAGGAGGAAGACTACGGCGGCGTAAGGCCCGGTGTAGGGAGGGTGGTGACGCGGTTGGTGGTCTCGAGGATGCATGTTGGTTGCTTGTTGGGCAAAGGTGGGAAGATCATTGAACAGATGAGGATCGAGACCAAGACCCATATCAGGATTTTGCCGAGGGACGTTAATCTGCCTCGTTGTGTTTCCGTGTCGGAAGAGATTGTTCAGGTCAGGTTTGGACATTGCTGCAATGACACTGTGAAAGAAGACCCTTTGAGTTTTTCTTTCTTCCTGATATGACTTCTCATTTTATCAGTGCTTGGTGTTTCGGTTTCTGGAGTTACACTGAGCATTTAGGAGTTTCTTTTTTTTTTTAAATGTGGAAGGTGTTCTGCCATGGGTAATTCTCAATTTTTGGTTTGGGAAAAAGGGTAAAGATTGAGTCTTGGATCGATAACGATACCAAGCATAAAAAATGTCGAAGCTAGTCGCGCTCGATAGATTTATAGTTAGCTTGATAATGATCAATGATGGTTATGCCTTTGATAGTGTTGTGATATTGTTTAACAACAGTCAAGGTATGATCTTATGTGGCTACATTTGCGGCGTAACTTGACTCCAAGCTTTTCTTATGTCAAGGAAATGTTTTCTTTTCTGGTGTTGATTCTTCAGGTTGTAGGGGAGACACATGCAGTTAAAAACGCTCTAGCAGCTATTTCATCTCGCCTTAGGGAGAGTCAGCATCGTGATCGAAGTCATTTCCATGGGCGAGCACATTCACCCGAAAGACCTTTCCCACCGGTTGATGATTATATCCCTCAACAGAGGCAGCAATCTATGGATAGATTTCCTGATTCCAATTACAGAAACAATAACTTCGGCTCTCGTCAATCCAATTATGCAACCGAAACTCCATCTCTTCCCATTGGTGAGAATGCACAACCCTTCTATAACGAGGAGCTTGTGTTCCGGATTCTCTGCCCAGTTGACAAGGTTGTTCGGGTTGTCGGGGAATCTCAAGGAATAATAGACTTGCTTCAAAATGAAATTGGTGTAGACATTAGGGTATCTGATCCTATAGCAGGATCAGATGAACAGATAATAACTATTTCTTCATACGAGGTACTCTGAATATCTCTAAATATGTCTTAGAGCATCTTTTACGAGACCTTTCATTTGTACCTATTCGTAGTGATGTTAACTTTGGTTTATCTTCGTCTTTGCCTCTTCTTTGTTAGGCTCCTGATGACGAGCTGTTTCCAGCTCAAGAGGCTTTGTTGCACATTCAAACTCGTATCGTTGACCTTATTCCAGATAAAGAGAACTTTATAACGACCCGATTACTTGTACCTTCTGGTGATACTGTATGTTTGGATGGGAAAGAAGGATCCTTAATCGAAATAAGAAGATTAACCGGAGCAGACATTGAGATTCTACCTAGGGAAGAATGCCCTCCATATGTTTCCATTACTGATGATGTTGTACAGGTTTGCTGCCTAACTTGAGAATCCGGGCTCGTCCTAAAACATCTTGTCTATGATTCCTTTCTCGATGAAAATTTTCCATGTCCATGCAGATTGTTGGCGAGATCAAAGCAGCTCGAGATGCACTTGTTGAGTTGACGTTAAGATTGAGAAGACAAATGTACAAGGAGTTCTTTCAAAAGGAGGAGACACCGGCTTCCACTTCAGCAACCGGTCCTAATGATGTTGTTGCATTAGTAGATGCAGTAGCATCAACAAATAACATAAATCAATCTCGTGAAGGTCATACCGGTTCCAATCTGAACTTGCAAGCTATCCCGAGTGCTCCACAATATAAGGTTGTATTCTTAGCAGTGATATTCCAGTCTGGTAATTCAACAATGATTTGAATGTTCTCAACCATGGAAACAGTTGAAAGTAGCCTTCTATATTTTGTTCCTGTTTTCGTAGGAAGCTGGTGGATCTGACGCTGCTGCAAATGCAATGACAACTGAAAGTGAAAACCGGGATGACATTGGGGCAGTGAACAGGTAGAAACATTCAAATTTCAATATAGAGTACAAAGAATAACCGAGTGGTCGGTTAAGTAAGGATTTCGACTAACTTGCATTACCCCCTTCATTTCTTCTTCAAGAATCCCGGTACCTCTTGTTACTAGGAGCATTTTTGAAGTTGTCTTACCAGAACAAGTGGTTCCTAAGCTCGTAACAAAGTCAAGAAACAAACTTGCACAGATCAGTGAGGTTAAAAAACTCGACTCTGGATGTGGATCAGAATGTGTTATTATCCATGTTTAACTGAATTTGAGTTTCTTTTCACTCATTCCACTTGATCATAGTTGTCTGGAGCTAACGTAACTCTGGTGGAAGACCGACCAGAAGAACCCGAAAAGATAATCCGGATATCGGGTACACCCGAGCAGGCCGAGAGAGCTCAGAGCTTGCTTCAAGGCTTTATCTTGAGCAGTAAGTTCTCTGTTGTGAACTAGGAGGATGTAGTAATGTACCTTCTTCAAATCCATGGTTTCAACTGAGTTGAGAGACTGTTTCTTTTATTTCTTTTTTTATTCAGCACAAGAGGATGATGGACCATGACCTGAACGCACGATGGCCGTTGTTGTGTTCATCACTTGCAGAGGAAAATAATTTGGGGGGGGGGTGTTTAGGGTTTGGGTAGTGAAGGTGATCTTATCAGGAAAATGTGTTTTGGATGATCTCTTGGTGTTTGTTTCTATGTTGTGTTCTTTTTTTTTTTCTCTCTCAGGCATGTTTTTGTAACCATAAGTAGTAGGGGTGGATGTTTCGGTTTTCGGTTCGGAATTCAAACTGTTCGGTTTGAAAACGTTATTTTTTTATTTTATAAAAATTGTACCAAACTGGAATCGAATGTTAAATGGTTCGATATTAGTGTTGGTTTGATTCGAAATGGTATCAAAATGGTATCATTACATGAATATGGATGGAATAAATATCAACCATAATATTTACGTATATATTAGTGGATAATTTGGATTTTGCTTCAGTAAGGGTTTGGTTTGGTATTTGTATAGTTCGGTTGGGAAACAATATATTCGGTTTTATAAAATTATATCAAATATCGGATTGGAATTAAATTTTCGAACCGAAGTGTCCACACTAATAGGCAGTTGGTTGTTAGTCATTTTTATTCATTAGTGTGTTCTTTTCATTTCGTTTTTGTTATATATATAAAAAAAAAAGTGAACAGAACAATAACACACAGAACTGAATCTTGAACGGTTTTTATTTTTATTTTTAAATCAAATTAACAATTTCAAATTTAATTTGATAATGTGCTTAGTATAAAAACCGCGCCAAATAAATTCTCGTTTCAGTTCGTTTTCGTGTAGCCATGGGCAATTAGATGTTTTCGATTTTGATCAACAGTACTACGGAACCCAACTGATCCGGTTAACCATACCGGTGTCAAACTGGTTTTCTGGTGGACACTGTGCATAGAAGAACTGAATGATCTGTTATTGGGCGTCAACCGGATTTAACCGGACCGGTTATGCTCGGCCCAATTGGTTTATGTGTAAATGTGGTGGCAATTTGGTCCGTTCAAGAATTTGGGGCCTAACTGTAAGAATCTCTTAAATTCGGGCTTGGACCAAATTTCTGGATGAGTCGCGAATCCATTTGATCACCGTCATCAATCAGTATCCTCCTCGGCCGGCAGTGCCGCACGACTTCCCTCTCAGGCCAAGTGAGAGCTGCTTCTCGCAGGCTCTCTTTCGTTTCATCAATGGCGTCTTGTATCTCTCTCCTCCCTCGGACCACTCTTCTCTCCAGCTGGTAAATGTTCCTCTCTCTCTCTGTCTTCCGTCTGAAGTCGAACCTCTCAGTTTTTTCGAGTTGTGCCTGAAGAGGGTACGAGGGTCAGCTGTTGTTTAATTTCATGAAAGACGATGTGGGTCAGCTGAAATACATCTCTCCTAGATTTGGGTCTCCGCCAAGTTTTGGAATTTCTTTGGCTGAATTTAGATTTTTGGTTTCAGGACGAACCAAATATGTTGTCCGTCGAGCCTCTTTCAGAGAGATTTTTTGTGGCCATGTGTCTGTTTCCGGAGTCGAAAATGGAAGTCTAAGCTTTATCCTGTTCCTGCGCGCCAATTTGTGTCGGGGCCCTTTGGTTCAGAAACTTCTTCGAAGGAGCTGAAAAATTGTGCTACTTTCGGCTTATCTGAAGTTCAAAGGTGAGAACCCCTTATTCCAATTTTTGTGGTATAGAAAAGAAGATTCACATGTGTCTGCTGTTGCAGGTCTGATCTATTGGTAGATACTTCCAGTAACAACAGCTTTAATGGGATGGAAGATTTTGAAAATGAGTTGCAAGAGTTGTTTAATGAAATCAAAACTATGGTAAAGATGGGGAACGTAAAAGACGCTGTAGACCTTCTTCAAGCTAATTATCTTGCCGTGAAAGAACAGATGAACGCCGGTTTGAAAGGTATTGAACAAGCTGCTCTTCTTGACGTTATCGCCTTGGGGTACATGGCTGTTGGAGACTTGAAGCTTGTAAGGCCTCTGCTTGATATGGTGAGTCTGCTTTTCTTACAGTGTTGGTGTTTCGGTTATGAGGATACATGATAAGGGCAACTGTGTTTTTTCTATTTAGACTTGAGTTAGAAAGATCACCCTTTCCTTTTCCCGAATGTCGTACCAAATAAATGCAGATAGACAGGATTGTTGATGGTCTGAAGGATGACGAACCTCTTCTGGATTCAGTACTTGTGCACCTTGGTAGTATGTATTCAGTGGTGGGGAAGTTTGAAAATGCCATACTTGTGCATCAAAGGGTTGTTGGTATATTAGAGGGTAGATATGGTAAACTTCTTCTCATACACATTGTTTGCTTCGGCGGATTCTAGTTTCTATCGTTTCCTTAACTGCCACCTCTTGTTCACTAGGTAAAGGTAGTACACTACTTGTCACACCTCTGTTGGGATTGGCAAAGAGTCTTGGTTCTGCTGGAAAAGCCAATAAAGGAATAGATGTTTACAAACGTGCGATAACTGTTTTAGAGAGTAACAGAGGTGCTAACAGTGAGGATTTGGTGATTCCGTTATTTGCACTTGGAAAACTTCTGCTAAAAGAAAAAAGAGCCACTGATGCAGAAATTCCTTTTACCAGGTACATCATAGGAAAGGACTCTTTCGGTCAAGCTTTGCATTTCCTATGTCTTGAGTGAACTGCAAATGTTAAATGTTTCGGTTCTTGCTAGAATTTTGAACATATACACGAAGAAATACGGAGAGAAAGATGGAAGAGTTGGAATGGCTATGTGTTCCCTTGCTAATGCAAAGTGTGCAAGAGGTGAGTTTGGAGCTTCCATTTATCCCTCTTTCCTGTCACTCTGTCTTGATCTAGTTTGAGAGAAAATATGGCACTTGGGTGTGAAGTCTTTAGGAAAATTAATTGCTTACTTAAGTGAAATGTCAATCCTGAGGCTTGAGTATTGTTAAAGAAGATCAGATGCCTTGATATTTTAACAGGAGCTGCAGAAGACGCTATTGATCTCTACAGGAATGCTCTACAAATCATCAAGGATTCAAATTACATGGCCATAGACGACAGTATCTTGGAAAGCATGAGAACAGATCTGGCTGAGTTGCTTCATTTGGTGGGAAGGTAGAAAATTCTCGTTTTCTTGCTTCCCGGAATGCAGGAACTGGAACCCAGTACTATTGTCTCAGAGTGAAAAGGCTATCTCCACTTATTCTTATGGTCCATTTCAATTTGTCTGCTCGTAGGGGAAACGAGGGACGGGAACTATTAGAAGAATGCTTATTGATCACCGAGAAATACAAAGGGAAAAACCATCCTAGCATGGCTAAGCATCTTCTAAATCTCGCAACATCATATTCACAGTCCAAGAACTTTGTGGAGGCCGAGCGCTTACTCAGGACCTGTTTGGACATCATGGAGAAGTCAGTCGGACCAGAGGACCAGTCAATAACCTTCCCCATGCTGCATCTCGCTGTCACTCTTTCTCAGTTAAACCGGGATGAGGAAGCCGAGAGCCTTGCCTTGAAAGTTCTCCAACTCCGAGAGAACACATTCGGCAAAGACTCCCTCCCCGTAGGTAAAGTCGTCCTCCCATCCACCACAACATCGATAATCAAGAAATTTCATGATGGGTTTTGTAATCTCTCTCATTTCTACATAGTTGCTGCTAAGAATCAAAACCTTTATGGATGAAAGTCTCAAACTTTTGATCCGAAATGACCGTTGTGTTAAACCATGTACCACGTGCAGGGGAAGCACTGGACTGTCTGGTGTCGATCCGGGCAAGGCTAGGAAGAGACGACAGAGAGTTACTGGAGTTGGTGAAAAGGGTTATGATGATACAGGAGAAAGAGTTTGGATCTGAAGCAGAAGAGCTCATTGTTACTCTGCAGAAGATTGTGTATTTCTTGGACAAACTGCGGATGAAAGATGAGAAATTCAAGTTCAGGAGAAGAATTGCTTTGTTAAGAGAGAAGTACAGAGAGAGCATTCCCTAACAAAACTCCCCTTTTTTGTTATCTGACTTGTATTCCTTCTGTAAAGACCCACTTGATTGTTTTAAAAAAAAAAGCTTTGAAAAGGGAGATGTCATGAATACAAAACGTTGGGCCGAGTTGGGCTGCTTCTTAACCCGGTCCGACCCGGCTCGGCCGGACGTGGACCGTTAAATCAGTTAGAGGCATGTTTGATTTCCTTATCTCTTTGAGGAGTACCAAAGGGCCTAACCACCGCCACAAACCATAAGATTCTCTCCCTCTCTCTCTCTCTATCTCTCTCTCACTCACTCACTGCTTCTTATACTGTAACTCGCTTTCGCCTGACTCACTGAGTCATGGCACTCCTGAGTCCGCAGCTACAGCGATTCATCTCTACGAGTCTCTGCCGCCATGACGCCTCTTCCTGCCGAACCTCCGCCTCCGCGGGCGCCGCCGTCAACAGAGGAGGCGGTGGTGGTGTGGTCTCGGTGGCTCATGCTCGGCACCGGTGCTCTGCCATCGCGATCGAAGCTCCATCGTCGATGACGGATGTGGCTCCGATCCGATTCGGGTATACGAGCTTGCAAGGACCTCGAGAGGAGATGGAGGATGCGATCGTCATCCGGTCAGACGGCCTCGATGGGTTCTCCTTCGCCGCCGTTTTCGACGGCCACGCCGGCTCCTCGTCCGTCAGATTTCTCAGGTACCTGTTAGTTTGTTAAGGTCATGCAAACTTGATTTCTGGGATGGTGATTATGGTGTTGATGATGATGATGGTGGTGATAATGATGATAGTGAAGAGCTTTACAAGGAGTGTGTCGGGCAATTGCAAGGTGGGTCGTTGTTGAGTGGAGGTGATTTCACGGCGATCAAGGAGGCTTTGCTGAAGGCTTTTGAAAATGTGGATCAAAATTTGCTGAAATGGTAAAAGATGGGTTTCTTAGGGTTAGAGAAATTTTGTCTTTTGTCTGAAGAAATCAACGATAATTTCTACACAATTCTGCATCCAGGCTTGAAGCAAACGGCGAAGAAGATGAATCTGGGTCAACGGCCACTGTTTTGTTCATCAGAAACGGCATATCCTTCATTTCACACATCGGTGATTCCTGCGTGGTGAGCATTCTAATGGGATCATGTGAAAAGGCTTTCACTTTCTCTGTGACTGTACATTTAAATCTTGCTCGTGTATGGTTTCGATCCGTTCAAGTGCAATAGCAAGCAAATTATAGTCATGATATCATGGTTGTGGCACAGGTTCTGTCTCGATCTGGACAAGCTGAAGAGTTGATTGATTCGCATCGTCCATTTGGAAGCAGTAAGGCCTCTCTTCAGGAAATTAGAAGAATCAGAGAAGCAGGTGGATGGGTGTGTCCTCCTTTATTATTCATAATTTTTTTCTATTGGAGTCGTCGAATTTCTGAATTTGCCCGTGTGAACCGGCAAAGGAGAGTAAAACAATGGACACCTTGCTCATCTTTAGTTCCATATATTATTTCATTCGATCAGATTGTCAATGGGAGGATTTGCGGAGATATAGCTGTTTCCCGTGCGTTTGGTGACATTCGGTTCAAGACAAAGAAATACGAGTTTGGCTCTTTAACTTAAAACATGTTTCTTTTCATCTGTCTGTGGCGTTTTAGTTTATCCCCCTGCTCATACAGGAGTGTTGTTTCTTATGTACAGGATGCTGCAGAAGGGCGTTGAAGAAGGGAGATGGTCTGAAAAATTCGTTTCCAGGTATTGGTTTCTTTGATTCACCATAACCGGTTTTCTGCCAAAATGTAGAAACGGATCAGAACGTTGATTTCCGTCGAGGTTCTCCTAGAAACCGATTTTCAGATGATCTCTAAATGGTTGTATGTTTAATATGGCATTGCCCAGAATACGGTTTAAAGGGGATTTGGTCATTGCAACTCCAGAGATATACCAAGTACCCCTCGCATCGGACGTGGAATTCGTTGTCTTAGCTTCTGATGGATTGTGGGACTACATGAATAGGTTTCCTTTTCTTGTGTCTCTTTCCC